TCAGGAGATCGAGACCATCCTGTCGACTTAACATGGTGAAACAGCCGTCTCTTAGCTAAAAAATACAAAAACTAGGCTGGCGAGGACCAGGTGCGCCACGCCTGTCTGTGTGAGTTGCCAGCTACATCGGGAGGCTGAGGCAGGCCTCGAATGGCGTTAAAACCGGGAGGCGGGAGATGTGCAAGGTGAGCTGAGATCGGCCACTGCACTCCAGCCGGCGTGACAGGCGAGACTCTGTCTTCAGAGAAACAAAAAAAAAAAAAAAAGAAGTCTTTCTTTCTCCTTTTGAAATTTGTGGATTTAATGTATTTTGGACACGCGGTTCCCTCTGTCGTCCAGGCTTTGAGTGCAGTAGGTCAGGTCAGCGGCTCACTGCAGCCTTGCCCCCTGAAGAGAACTACACAAAAATAATATACCACCTTAGCCTTCTGAGTGCCAAAGGACTTACAGGCTTGTGGCCATCCACACCAGCTAATTTTTTTTTTTTATTTTTTTTTTGGAGACTAGAGCATCACTTCTGTTGCCAGGCTGGAGTGCAAGGCACAATCTCAGGTCACTGTCACCTGCTGACCTCCTGGGATTCAAATGATTTAATCCATGCCTTCAGCTCCCAAGTAGCGGGATTTACAGGCATGCTGGGGGCCACCGTCACCTGGGCTAATATTTGTATTTTATAGAGACGGTGGTTTTGTCGCCATGTTGACCAGGCTGGGTCTTGAACTCCTGGACCTCATGTCTCCGATCACTCCGCCTCGGCCCTCCCTCAAAGTGCTGGGAGATTACAGGCCTGAGCCACTGCTGGCCTGGCCTTTTGTATTGTTTTCTTATGTATGAGATGGGGTTTTGCCATGTTGGCCAGGCTTGGTCTCGAATACTCACTGAGCACTCAAAAGTCGATCCTCCCTGGCGCTCAGCGTCCCAAAGTGCTGGGATTTCCAGGTATTGCAGCCATCGCGGCACTGGTATCCAACATGTGGTCTTTTTCCATTCTTGGAAGTGGATGTACAGATTTTTTTTAGTTTCGGGAAATGAGTTCCTGGCCGTGGGACCCCGGAAGACGTCCTAGGGCACAGCAGTGTGTCATAATGTGAAGGTCACCGTGACATACGACATGTGCGGGTGGGCCACTAGACCACACATGAGAGAAAATCAGGCAGGTATTGGAGTACGGGCGTCGGTTTGAGCTCACCCTGTAATCCCAGCACTTTGGGAATGCTTGAGGCCAGGCAAGGATCATGGAGGTCAGACGAGATCTAGATCATCATGGGCTAACCTGGTGAAAGATAAGTCCCGGAACGAGGTCGTCTATATAAAAAAAAAATTATACATATAGTATATTATATATACACACACACACACACACACACACACACACACACACACACACACACAAAATTAGCCGGGCATGGTGGCAGGTGACTGTAGTCCCAGCTACTCAGGAGGCTGAGGCAGAATGGCGTGAACCTGAGAGGTGGAGCTTGCAGTGAGCCAAGATCGCGCCACTGCACTCCAGCCTGGGCGACAGAGCGAGACTCTGTCTCAAAAGGAAATCAGAGGTATCTTACTAGGAGATGTTTTGTTATATGGATCCGGTGTTTCTAACAGTGGACGGCCTGCTCAAGAGCAGATCTGTCGGAGAACAGTTCTTGAGTGTGCGTGGGATGCTAAACAGGTCCCCAGGGCTTGCTCACAAGGATGGACACCCAGGCCAGGCACAGTGGCTCACGCCTGTAATCTCAGCACTTTGGGAGGCCAAGGTGGGCGGATCACTTGAGGTCAGGAATTCGAGACCAGCCTGGCCAACCGTGGTGAAACCCGGTCTCTACTCCAAGTACACTGGAACCTGAACGTTCATGTCAGGGTCCAAGGCAATCACTGCTCCCTTTTGACCAACAGTTTGGGAGAGTGATTTAGAGATCACAGAGGCTCAGCTTCAAACTTACTAAAGCTGATCCTTCTTGTTCAGCTCACGGTAGCTTCGCACACTCCGGTCATGTGGGGAGGCAAAGATAGAATTTTGTCCCACGGAGGAAAGTGTGCTGTGCAGAGGGACAGCAAGCTCCAGAGACGGGCAGAAGGCTGTCCTTGAGCCGTCAGCTGAGTGCGCACGCGTGTGAGGGAACAGCTGGGACCTAAGGGAAGGGCCGCCGGGAAGAAGGGGAGGAAGCTCAAGCACTCACACAGGGCTGGGAGTAGTTTGCATTCCTGGTCGCCAGCGTGGAGGTCACCAGCGTGGAGAAGCTGTCACATCCACGATGGGCGTCGGGCTGGGTACCTAAAAGTTCACTGTGTGGGTGTATGTGGGTGTGGGAATGTGTGGCAGTGTGGGTGTGAGTAGGGGTGTGTGTGAGTGTGGGGTGTGTGTGGGGTGTGCGTGTTTGTGGGTGTGGATGTGTGTGGGTGTGTGTGGGTGTGTGGGTGTGTTTGTGTGTGTGTGGTTTTGAGACAAAAATCTTGCTCTGTTGCCCAGGCTCGAGTGCAGTGGCATAATCTTGGCTCACTGAAGGCTCTGCCTCCTGGGTTCAAGTGATTCTCCTGCCTCAGCCTCCCAAGCAGCTGGGATTACAGATGCGCACTGCTAAACCCGGCCAATCTTTGTATTTTTAGTAGAGACAGGGTTTCACCGTGTTGGCCAGCCTGGTCTCGCACTCCTGGCCTCAAGTGATCCACCCGCCTCATTCTCTGAAACTTCTGGGATTACAGACATGAGCCAACACGTCTGGCCTGTTATTTATTTTTTTAGAGATGGAGTCTCACTATGTTGCCCAGGCTGGTCTCAAACTCCTGGGCTCAGGTGATCCGCCCACCTTGTCCTCCCAAAGAGCCGAGATTACAGGCGTGAGCCACTGTGCCTGATTCTGTTCAGGGTCTTGACTGAGGCGATGGTTTCACAGGTATAGACATGTGAAAACATATCCAAGGGTACACTTCGTGTGTAGTTCATTGTAAATCAGTTACACCCCATTAACATAATGTGTGTGTGTGTGCGCGTGTGTGTGCCTGTGTGGATCTCTGTGGAAACCAGAAGCCCTCTGACGCGTGTGTTTGTTCTTGCTTAGGACACCCAGAGCAAGAGTCCCAGCGCAGTCCTGAGCCACGAATCGGATGCTGCTCACTCTGACAGTGCCAGGTCATCTTCCAGCAAGTTAGAGCTCTGGCCTGATGTTAACAAAATAAGGAAATCAGAGGTTTGTCTTGGCAACTAACCGTGTAGAGACACCCGCGACCGAGTGCCTGCTCTGCGAAGAACTCTTTTCCATGCGCTGAGGGCCTGGCACCGAACAGAAACCCACGCCCTCGTGGACACTACGTTCCAGTGCGGAGGGGACACGGCAGGGAGGAGGGGACATGGCAGGGGGGAGGGGACACGGCAGGGAGGAGGGGACACGGCAGGGGGGAGGGGACACGGCAGTGAGGAGGGGCACGGCAGGGAGGAGGGGCACGGCAG